ACCTCTTCATTAGTTTAATCATGAAAAGTACCAAAATCTGCCACAACTCATCCATCCCACTGATGTACTTTATTACACGGCTACCTTATTTTTACAAATAGTTTCTCGAGAACAGATCCTGAGCTGTTGCTGAGTCCTAACACAACAAACAGGCCAGAAATAAACCCAGCAAGCCAGCAAGAACATTGTACCACCCAATGATTAAGTTAATTCTACACCCTAAAAATCCAGTTAAAAGCTGACAAACCATTGGAATATGTAGTGTTAAACCCAACCTCAGTTATCCAGATATGACTACCAGCTATTCATCTGATCAACAGTAACACAACAAAGCCACCTATATAGACTAAATGAATCAGGAAGGTTGGAAGAGACCTCCAAGATCATCGAGTCCAACCATCAACCCAACAACACCATGCCCACTAAACCATGTCCCTAAGCGCCTCATCTACCACCTCAATCCAAAGAAACCTCAAAACATATAATCCCCTGTGCAGTCCTCCCAATACTCTTAAACCTACCATCTGCTGTAACCCACAGCCACAGTGACACAAATCCAAACAGGCTTTCCATGTGCCTGCTTTCTACCTCTTCATTAGTTTAATCATGAAAAGTACCAAAATCTGCCACAACTCATCCATCCCACTGATGTACTTTATTACACGGCTACCTTATTTTTACAAATAGTTTCTCGAGAACAGATCCTGAGCTGTTGCTGAGTCCTAACACAACAAACAGGCCAGAAATAAACCCAGCAAGCCAGCAAGAACATTGTACCACCCAATGATTAAGTTAATTCTACACCCTAAAAATCCAGTTAAAAGCTGACAAACCATTGGAATATGTAGTGTTAAACCCAACCTCAGTTATCCAGATATGACTACCAGCTATTCATCTGATCAACAGTAACACAACAAAGCCACCTATATAGACTAAATGATTCAGGAAAAGGCTTGGCAGCTAATTAAACAGAATAAAGATACCCCACTAACATACCCTCCAATAAATCAAGAATAAACCTAAAAATACAAATGAGACCCCCAAATTTGCTAACCCACGCCTAAAAACAGTACCAAAGCAATGGTAAGGAGAAGGAAGTGCTTTTACCCAGGAAATGGGGCAAAATATATATTAGTTCCCACTTGCATGTCAACTAATGCCGATAGTGTGAATGCAATGGTGGGTTTTCGACCACAGAAACCTAAAGGCACCAATCCCTTAAAAAAAAATTCTACATCTCCTTCCTTCACCTTCCAACTCCCTTCAACATCTGCATAAATGGTTATTATAATGAATTGTCTGTCCTCTGGCCAAATAGCTCCTCCTCTTCCATTAGCTGTGTGTCCTTCTGTATTCACCCAACATCTCTACCATGGCTCCTATCTGTTCAAAGAACCATCAAATGTCAAAGTAATTTTACAATTACACATTTATAACTGTTTGCCACAAGTTTTCACCTCCAACGAAGCTAAAAATGTCTGAAGTTAAACATCTCCCAAAAAATTCCCTCTCCACTCCCTATGCCAACTTGGGCCAGAGATGAAATATCACACTCACATCCTTCTCAGGTTTCACTGCTTCCTCACATTTATCACTGCCAAAGTGGCTGGGTCTGGACCCTTTTTGTAACTTTCTCTGTCCAATAAGACAACTATTGCTACTCAGGGTTCAATAATTAATTCTGAATTTTCAGTTAAAGCCTTGATTCAGAGCTCTCTTAGCAAGAACTCTGTCTCCAAAGTGAATACAGTTACTCTCTTAATACAAAATCCTTATTTCTGAAAATAAGTGCATATTTAAGTGCAATTATTATGAATTAAACTTAATTAAAAATGGATCATTGAATAATTTTAAACAGCAGCTGTTTGGGGAGGGATTTGTTGGTGATGTATCTAATTTCCTTTGAAATTAACCTTCACTGAAATCTTATGCATATAAACTGTGTTAGAACATTTTTTAAAATGGTAGTTCTTTCTTTAGTACTGAAGGTTTCTTCTTTAAGGGCTAGAAAATAATGTATTAACACAAAGAATAGAAATCTATATTAGAAACCATCTTTTGTATATCAATCTCCTTTGTTATAGATATCTCCTATGTTACGTTTACCACCTCTCATATTTTTTTTTAAGTCAGCTCATAATTTGCCAGTAACAATAGCGTGGCCATTATGATAATGGCTAGCCAATATATATACACATATATATAATGATTGTTTGCAAGAGAATTTTAAGAACAGTGAAAAGATGATTTTTGAATACTGACAGGGACCCTGTAGTCCAAAAAAAGAAACAACTGATGGACAGATAAATAGGTATCTGTAAAATCACAAAAGTTATGATTATTCTCTTTTACTCACTGTTCAAAGGGGTGAAATGAAATTACCAGGCAGTAGGTTTTAAGCTAACAATAGAAAATACTGTTTCTCATCACATCTATTTAAATTCTCGAACTTCTTGACACGGCATGCTGTGAAAAGCAAAAGCGTAAAGGAGTTCTGAAGAGTTTAGACAAATTCATGGAAAACAGGTAAAGGTCTATCAAATATGATGGTCCAGCTGTCTGCTAAGAAAATCCTCAAGCAGGAGAAGTATTTCTCAGTAATTTCCTGCTATTTACATTACTCCTCAGTCATCCTCTACTTTGCCAGTGCTCGAGTCACAGTGGTACTTAGACTTGTGAGCTGACCTAGGATGGCAATTCTTTTATTAATATTTGTGAGTTTGACGTCAAGATAAATTAGCTGGTTTTCCATTAGAAACATACGAAGACTGATTATTCTTTGTAGAATTCAAGGGCAGAGGACATCAGAGAGACCTCAAACACATCACAGCCCAATAACATTTTGGGGTACTTACTGTTTATTAAATTGATTGTGGGGTTGGTTTTTTTTTTTAAAGAAGACATTTTTGCATCACAATTTGGGTTTAAGGTTGCCTCTATAAATGAATAATTTAGAATAAAGTACATTTTGGAGACACTGTAACTTTCTCTGAATCAAGCATTATAACCATAAGCTATTCAGACTAAAGAGTAACCTCACAATTCAGTCCTGTTGGACAAGAGAAACTATACAAGACAGTAAAAAGGAAAACAGAGAAAAAAAGCCAGCTGTGCTCACAGCATCAAATTGAAGGTTGAAGAAAAAATTAATCTGACATATATTTAAAAATCCGTTCTATGTGCTCTGAGAGCACAAGCTCCCAGTGCTTTCACCAGAATGCAATTGCCTTCGTGTGGTGATACTACCAGGTCTATAGACCCCAGCACTGATTTATTCGCGTTAGTTTAGAATGACTAAATCCTAGCAAAGAGTTTTTTTCATTTTTAAACTTGTTTGCAAGGCCTTGACACATAAACACAATCCTTCAGTTCCCGTTTTGTGTGGGAGTGTTAGGCAGCTGAACGCAGATGGATGGTAAGCATCTGAAGCCATTTGTTTAGCAAACCAAATGTTTGCTTTATTATTTTCAAGTAATCAGAGAGCACCTGCTTATTTCTTGTTCTAAGCTAGTCAGACAGAAACCAGTATTACAGCTATAACACTGTCATCCTGATATTTATAATCCAGGCCCTGCTGCGTGGATGTTTATGCACAGCGTTGCCGCTTTGGGCAGGGGAAGCTGATAACGAAATAGGAATTTGAAAAGCAGTTTCATGTGAAGATGAGCAGCGCGCAGGCCTCCCTGGGACGCCAGGTCACACGCGTGCCGTGCACACGCAGCCCCTCAGCCAAGTCATCGCAGCAGCATTCGCAAAGCCTGGGACAAATCTCACGAGGGCAGCTAAAGAACAAAAAAAACAGAGCTACAATATCACTCCTTAGGGCGGGACTTAAAACGGTCACAAGCCCATTTTGCACGATTCATTGGGTACCTGGTGAGTGAAGGTTCAGGACCAGTTCATACGCCATTCAATTTGCCAGTTCACTCCTGCTATTTATTATTCTAGCTGCACTGCTGGTCTCCCAAATGGATTTTTTGTTTCCAGGGTGAATAGATGGCTACAGCATTTGTTAACCGTCAGAATAACAAAAAAGAATACCAGATAACAATTCATACGCTAGTGTTCGTTACCATTTTTTTTTACCTCAGCACCCATTAGGACAAACTAGGTGCCCGCCATAGCTACCAGGAGTCCTGCCTTCAATTTCGATGAGACCTGGGGTTTATGTACTCAGAAAGACGTAGCCAGTGAGTTGTTGGGATCACAGGCTGGTATGACTGAAGGTCTGTTATAATTTATGCCTAACACCTGCTGTATATTTGAAAAGTAGCCACTAATACAATGAAGATTTAGTGTGCAGGTAAGCTTTACAAGCAGATTTAACCCCTGCAGCGAGAAATGTTAAATCTTCTAGAGGAAAGTTATATCAAAAACTGTGTTCTCTAATAAGAAGCCACACAGAACTAACACATAGGCTCCAAAAGGCAGATTTCTCTGCCCTGACCCACCAGTGAAAGTAAGGATTTTTAGGTAAGCTGTACTGGGCTAAACATACTATTAATTTAATGTACAAGGTAACCCAAACAAAGGGTGTGCATTTTATTTTTATCTACTTCCCACAAGAATCTAGTTGCTACCAAATACAGTCAGCTGCTAGATTTTGTCAGAGCATAAATCCCTACTTTATGAGGGGACGGGGTAAGACGCATGGATCTGTGGGGAAGCATTTGCACCAGAGTACAGCTCTGCGACTGATCCTGCAAAACAGAAACACGCGCTCATTTTATGGGCACGAGTAATTGGATTAAAATGTCTGTGTTTAATTTTCCATAGAGTTAAGGACATAAACAAATATTTTTAGAATCAGGGTCTCGGCGGTGAAGAGCGTGTTATGTTTTACACTGGAGGAATGCATTAAACGCTTGTTCTGTGTGACTCTTCAGTTACTACAAGAAATGTCCGCAAAGGCAGAATAGAACACAGAGGCAAAAAACACCAGCTTCACATCCAGATGAAAACTCCAAATTCCCTGCCCGATGGTAGGTTGTTATACTCACCAATATTGCAATACTTTCCTGCATAATTTCCTTTGCAATCACATACTATTTTCCCACTGAAGATAACCATTTTGCATTCTCCACCATTCATGCAAGGATCACGAACACAACCTACAAGCAGAAACCAAAGATGAAACCAAAGGTACAAACTATTCAAGAGAATCTGTCCATTTAACTTACTTTAGTACGCCTTCTCCATGCATATACATTTTGGGGAAGTTTTTCCTTTTTTACTCATCTCAGACCTCCACTTGATATAAATTGAAGAAAAGGAAACTCTGCTGATTTCTGCCCACTGAGGTCTGTCTTACTGTTTTTACTTTTATTGGATAATGTCAGCCTAGCTATTGAAAAATATTATCAATGAATAATAAGTAAAATGGGGGTGGTGATTATTATTACTAGTGGTGATGGTGACGGCATTAGCATTTCTTTCTGTACAGAGGGTTCTGCCAATTCCAAGTTTGCCACTGAGCTGCATTAAAATTTATAATAGCGTACCTAGCAGGGAGCTCAGTTAAATATTTAGGATCTGTGATTGGGAAGTATTAAGTCTTATCAAATTTCCCAACTCTCCCATGGGCTCCCAATGTCGTAGAAAGCCACCGACTCTCTCCATGCTTTAGTTTCCAGTTCTGTAAGGTGGGAATAAAAGCACCTACCTATTTCAAAGGGCTCTTTTACTCAGTACTGTAAGTTACTTGGGAGTCTGGGCAGGGTAAAAGTCAGCCAAACTGAACAACAGAATAGCCATACCAGAGCACACATATAGGTGAGGCATATGGTTTGCTTCCCACCATCTCTCCTTCCAAAAAGGAGGTGCCATGCTGGCTTCATCAGACAAGTGACAACCCAAAGCACATGCCCTGCAGCTAGTTGGCCAGCTGTGTCGGGCACCTGGCAGCCCCAAAACAAGGAGGAGGCTTCATAACATAAGTATAACCCCAGCCAGGAATGGGTATGTTGGGCCAAAAATCACGGGGACTCCGGGGTCGATGCAGGGCATATAGGATCCTGGAGGCGGATAGAGTTTACCTGATGGCAACTCAAGAGTGGAATAGGCTTGGGAAGAAAACCCAGGGGTGAAAGAGCGATATGAAGCGATTGTAGATGCGCAGGGGAAGTGCAGAGGAGGGTGTGCCTCTCGGGCATGTTACAGTTTTGGAGGAGAAATTTTACCACTTCTACTATATAATCTGTTGCATATTTTTACACATGCAGTTCAGAACTGCATCCCTCTCAAAGAAAACACTGAGGTGTATCCCTAAAATTCAGCTTAATGCATATAGTTGCTTCCTCAAAGAAGGATGGACATGTTGAAGTGATTTCCTGGGTCAGCATTAGTGCTTACACATGGAAAGGAAAGCTAAAATGTTCTCTTTGGGGGGGGGTACCTGAGCTGCAAGAGCAGCATTACTGTGTATAACACCACTGAGGCTTTGATATCCTTACTGTCATTTATCTCCGCTCTCTGCAGGCCACAGCTGTAATACAAAATAGTGCCTTACTTTTGTGTTTGACACTCTCGCACTCGATCTGGCCATTCACACACACGCACTGCTCCACAGCTCCTTGTTGGACTCTTGACCAGCTCATGCCCACATCAAAGAACTCGTAGAGACTGTTGTCAAAACATTTCTCTGAAACACAGTTTAAAAAACAACACAAGCTTTCTGAGGTTATTTCTTGCAAGGAATGGCACCACAGCCTCCATCATTCCCTGCTCATCCATTTTTTCCTGTTGAGCAGGCACGTGTTTGTTGACAGTGTTTCTCAAGCAAGCCAGCCTCCATAGTGTGGAGGCACTAAGCCACTATAGCAGCAGCTCCAAGGACCTTGAGGCAGAGGTGGCTTTCTCCTAAAGCCCTGTGAGCATGACAGCATCACCATTACTTAAGCCCCTCCAAAAGTTCATTCAGCAAACACAAAAAATAAAATCAGTGGTATATACTTGTGTCTGTCCCACTTTACTGCATCATCCACAGATGATGGGCTGTGCTAGAGACAGTGGAGTACCAGGACTGAAAAAGGCTTCTTTGTTTATGGTGGGAGAGAAGTCTAGAGCTGCAGGGAAAAGCCTTCATTAAACAACAGCTAGCACAACTGAAAACCCTCGGTGTAAAAGCCTAATTCCTTGCTTGACATACAGTAAATTTGGAGTGACACCACCATGAAACCGCAAAAATGGCCCAAGCAAAGCCTTTTGGCCTGACCCTCCTCCTTTGGAAATGAATCCCCTGAAGGTGGAGTAGCTGCCCAGGTGTAAAGCTGCCATCACAGGAAAAGCTGGAATGGACCCGTGTGTGCATAGACATAAGGGATAAGGCATCACCTGAAATTTTGTTGTTTTTTCATGTCTCCCTGCCCTACGTACTGGATGATATTAGTAGTCATTTCCAGTCATGTAAGGGATATTCAGATCTTAAAAACAGCAAAGGGAGGGGAAGAGGCTCTTTATGTTTCCCATATCTTAACATCTCACTGGCTCAGAGCATGCTAGGATTTATAACTGTATAATTGAGCTATTTTCAGCTGTCCTGTCAGTAATGGATTGTCTGTCATAACTATTTGGAAATCCGCCTACACAAACATTCATGCTGCAGTGGTCTCTCCCATCACAACAGCACTACCTTTTCATTAAGCAAACGTTAATGAGCTCTACTTACTGCTCGTATTTCATGTTGTAACACTCACAGAAGGAGATACTTACTCATCTGGCAGTTCTCGCCCGTGAATTCCTCGGGACAGGTACAGTGGTACATCCTATGGCCATGAGCAAAAGAACAGGTCCCTCCGTTTTGGCAAGGGTTGTTTGCGCAGTGATCTAGGCAGGCCACATAAGAAGTTGTTGTTAATAGGAGCCAGATAAGCCGTGCTTTGCAGTGTTAGGCGTTGGCTTGGTTACATGAACCATTTTGGTTCAATGCACAGTGGTTTCAATAAAACCTATTAATCTAAAACAATGTTTATCCAACCAATCTACAATGGTTTTGTTTCCAGCTGTATAGCAGCTATATTTATCCAGCTTTTAAAAACCGTAGAGTAAATCACTGAGCCGAACCTTCTTCTCCAGAATAACTTGTCCGAAGGTGGTAGGTCCAGGCGCGCACGAAGTTGCCAGAACCGCCACTGTGGTGAGGAAGACGATGGCACAAATGCCCACAAGATGGAGCTGTGCCTTTACACTGGGGAGGGAAGGCTGCAGCTCTGCCTCTGCCCGGATTACTGCCCTGCATGCTTCGCATTTCAACATCAAAGACCGGGATTATGCATCTCTCTCTCAAATTACACAAAGGACAACCCTCGACAGAAAAATTTGCTATGGATTTTCTGATTTTGTCTAAAACGAACGGACAGCTGGAACAAAGGAAAAAGTTTTGAAGCATGGAACAAAGGAAAAAAATTTGAAGCAAAACAAGGACACATCCAAGTAAATCAGGCCAAGCAAGATTAAACTGGACCAGTCTAATGTATGTCTGCTTTTTAAGGAATTTTCTAAATCATGGGAAAATAGGGTGGGAGAGGAGGGGGTGTGTCAAGACAACTTTCCTATCCCTGTAATGGAAGCTTTACTTGGAAATGTGCAATGCAAAAGGTGTAAGAGTCTTGCTGGCCAGCCGTTGTTCCTGATTTCAGGCGGTGTCAAGGGGTATATCTCACCTGAAGTCAACCAACATCATGTTTTACACCCGCTGCAGAGCTGGCCCAACAGCTTGTCTGCATTCAAATCCTCTTTTTTAAGGCTAGTCAAACTCTGCGAAGGCAACTGTAGAGTTACTCAATCCAGGTGCTCCTTCAGCTAGAGTGTGTGGTCCTTAGCATGGGATGCAACATATAGAAACACAGGCACACACATACAGGGCTGAAGCGAAGCACAAAAGGCATATCTTGAGCTTTGCTACAGCGGTGTAAATGTGAAGGTTCCCCTGCACAGATCAAAATATTTACTTCAGACTAGAGTGGTGTAATTGATATCAGATAGCAGGCCTGGGTGTATTCACTGGTAGTTTCACTCCAGGATAACATCAAGGGAAAGCAAGTAAAGGCAGTGACGTTCCTACTGTTCCTGCCATTTGATAGTTATGAAACTTCTAGTGGTGTAATGTTTCCTCAAAGGAAAATCCTGTATTTCCTATTCCCGTCACATCCAAACCATGACTTGATCTCCAGGCCATCTTCTGGTACAGCAGTGCTCAAGTCATTTTTTTTACCCTCGTCAAATCTGCAAAGAGCACTTCCAGTCCTTCATTTCTCTCCCAGTCGGAGTCCCTCACTGCATCCTACCTGCAACTCCAGCCTGACTTCCCCAGGGTATTCTGCACCCCTCCCCACCTTCCATGGAGTCCAGGAACAACTTCTGTTCATAAGCACATGGAAACATCACAGTTCCCTGCAGGGAATCCTGCCCACCATTAACTAGCCATTAACTGGGGAGTGCCAAGTCCCTGCAAGCTCAGCCAATGTCTGAAGCCACCCAACAGTATCTCCCCACCCTCACGGGAAAAATACTCAGTTCTTGCTTCACCTCTCTGAGGCTCTGCTGAACGAGCAGTAACCTTGTCACACCTTTCTAACCATATCTTCCCACAAAAACTTTCTGTTTCTGCCACCCACCTTTCCCAGAACTGGGACTGCTCTTCCCCAGAGCCCCTCCTGGGACGATGCCTCTTCTTCCTGCCTACGCAGTCCACACCACTCTACTTCTTCTTTCCATATCAGTCCAAACGTCTCAAAAAAACCTCACCGTCTGGCACTTTTCTCCGAAGTCTGGGCCTCCCTGGGGTTTTGGCCATTTTGTCCAAGATTTCCAGACATTCAGAGCAGTAGTCCTAACAGACTGCCCAAGATCTGGAAGTCCCACACATCGGGGCATTGCACTGTTATGCATATATATGTACATATATACGAACTACACATTCACAGCCCTCTTGGCCCATGTGTATGAAGGGGGTCACATCGGGCAGGTACTACACACGGTCTCCACAGAGATGTCCTAGGCAGGAGTGGAGGACCCTCTGGAAACCTGAAGGCAGAGATAAAGCTCCCACTGATTTCAGGAGGGGTTTGAACAGGCGTCTTGGGTGTTGTTATGGCAAGCTCTGGCTCTGTACAGTGCAGTACTAACACCCCCCTCCACCAGAGCCTTCATACCTGAGCTTCACTTCATCCTGAAGCTAAACACTTTTTGGTCAAATTTTCTCTTGCAGTTGGCAGATGTATTTTTCTGCATCAATGCCTCCAAGACTTGCTTAACACTAATTTGTAAGCAGCTCCAATGGTTTCAAGTCGACTCCCCAGGTACACATGGTATTCTTGGCCTGTGGGGAGTGCAGGCTTCAGCTTGTGCTTTCAAGCAGCTTATTCCCCATCCCAGTTCACACACTCCTCACCAATCTCTCATGGCCAAAGGATATTCTCTCCCCCCAGAATTTCATTTTTTTCCGGTTTTTCAAGTGTCTACAAAGCGGTTGAGATTCTCCCAAAGATTTAATATTTTAGTGGATTTTTTTCACAAAAAAATCTTATATTTTCCACATTTTAAAGATCAGCAATATTCAGTTTGACTGCTTCTTTCTTCCTAGCTATCTTTCCCAGCAGGCAAACTTTCCTCCCACTTGCTTGAAATTCCCTTCAGCCATTATGCTGCTCCTTCCTTTCAACCTCACCGTAAACCTTTTCTCTTTAAGCTATGGCTGGTGATCTGTTAAACCTTTTCCAAGTCCAAACACAGTGCTTGCTGCTTCAAAAAATAAGTAGACTTATGTTTATAAAGAAATGAACAGCTAAAGACTTTTTAATTTAGTTTTACAAAATTCTTAATGCTTTCAGAAATAGAGTCTTTTCTTTGTAACAGCCAGCAGTGATTTCTTCCAGCTACCCCATCCTTTTTTCTGTTTCCTTTCCTCTCTCATATGTGTAACTATCTTTTTCTGGAGAAAAAACAGCAGCCAGGGCAGGCCCTCACTGGCACTAGGGTATATTGACTAGGGTGTATTGACTAGGGTATATTGACAGCGATACCCCTCAATGAGGGGCAGGCAGACAGGATGGCTTTCTTGTTGCAAACCACCGTATCCAATGCTGCGGTGGGTAACAGGCAAAAATGAGCCAGAAAGCCCAAAAAGTCTTGCGGACAGCCAGCTCGCTGCGGAGACGGCTGCATGTGGGGCTGGCAGGGCCATGGCGATGGGCTGAAGGAGGGACAGAGGTGGCACAAAGCACCCCCAGAAATGCAATGCTAGGCTTGGAGAGCTCCTTCTTCAGCTACTGGAAAAGCCTCCTTGAGTCAGCCAGCCACCACCGTGACAGCCAGTGTTTCTTTCAGTGGAGGATTAAAGCAGTCACAAGTTACCACTTCCAACATTTTAAGCTCTGGGAGGGCACTCATGAATATGTAAGTGCAGCTCTCATAACCTTACTCTTGTAAGTATGAACTGTCTGTAAAGTTTACGTTCGTGTCTGACATACTTGCATTACAAAGGCACATGCATTGCTGCTTGTTTTGGGGTTAGGTCATTTGTCTCTGATCTACTGTTGATCTGTTTTAAAGCCAGGCTGGAAAATAACTTAAAGCTGTTAAGTTTAAAATGATGATGCTGTGCACTGCTTAATTTTAGACTCTCAGCATGATTCAGCTAACGTTGGCTTTTCAAGCGCTCTGGTAGATTGTAATCAGCTTGGCAATGAGTCTCCTGACATGACGGAGAACTCCCTGCAAGGGGATGAAGGAAAATGCCCTTCGTTGGAAAGTGGGAAGCGAACATCTAAGGGCATCTGGTCGTATCCTGCAGACTAAACAAGACAGGTCACGTTTGCAAGTTGTGCGAAGGAGAAAAGAGGAACATGATCAGCATTTAGACACAGATCCAAAAAAAACCTCAGGGAGATCAAGTCCAATCAGTGCAACACCTGATTTTTCAGTGCTGGTCTGTCACTGTATAAATTGAGAATTAGATATATACGTTCCTTATAAAATGAGATTCCCCAGCATCCAGCTCATGAAACATCAAGTTGGGGAGACAGAGACAAGCAAGGGCCAGCCATCAAGGTACTGCTGAGGACAGGGATGCATGTTCCCCACCGAACTGCTTGGGACATGATGCTTTCACCCAGTGTGTCAGTTAGAGCAACTTATATAGAAAGGAGAGTTTGCCGCAGACCTTGGCTTCTCATTTTAGGCAGACTATCGCAATGAGATAATTGTAGCACTGGAGTGTGGTGACCACATGAAGCCGTAGCACTGCTCAGCTAAGTAACTCTTTCGTTGTCCCTCAGTTCTCCTGCAATGAATGCATCTGTCCTCTTGTCTTCTCTGACGCAGCCCAAAGCCCAAGAAGTCTGGTTTTGAAGGTCTGCTCTTTACCCTGAGATCTTGAGGAAGGACAGCTGGAAGTGATGGCTGTGTGTTGTACAGGGTGTGAAATGTTTCTGTACCTTCTAAAAAAGTAACTGGTCAGAGACAGAAATTGCAGCTGATTAAATGAGGGGAAAACTAAAAGGCACATCCAAGCCGTGAGGGAGGAGAAGATGATCACCTCTGTGCCCGGCTCCAGCAGGAGTTCAGATTTCCGTGTTGGCATTACCATGATTCCTCTCCATGACTTCAAGTTAGTCAACAGAGAGTGAATTCATGACTGTCTGATATTCACAGTCCAATGCTATGGTTATGCAGAGTCACAGAGAGATTCCGGAAACAGGTAATATGAAGGATTTTTTTGTGTGCACCAAATAAAAGCAGCACTGAAGGCATCGTCCCTCCTTACTGCAGGTGGCAAAGTAGGAGCCATGTATCTGGAGCAACTCAGCAATGGCTTGCCTTACCTGAGTGGTCTTTGGGCAACAAAGCGCAGTGTCCCCATCTCCTGTCGCGGTCATAGTTATGTGTTGTTGAACACCTGAAAAGAATTAAAGGTGCAGTTTAGTGCAGCTTTAAACAACCTGGATGTTTGCACTGAAAATATATATGTCCTTCATTCTTTAGCAACCTGGAAATTCATACTTTTTTCCCTAATTAGCATCTGTTTCATTGAAAATCGCTTAACACCAGAGGAAAAAATGTGCTTTTTTTTTTTTTTGTTAAAGATGCTCTGCCCCATTTCTCTCCAACAAAATATAGATTAAGAATGAGATGTGGAAGCAGGACCTGAGATCTCCAATGAATCCTCCAGAAAAACCCAATCTTCTTTCTATTTCTAAGATTAGAAAATGAAAGACAGAAATAAAAACCAAAACAAAAGCAAATAAATTATGTCTCCTTTATTCATTACAAAACAAGCAAAAGAGGACCCAACCCATTTTTTTCTCCCTGCCAGTTACTTTAATAATCTGTGGAGACAGGAGACTGTCCGCAGAGGGACTTTTTCCTGGCTTTCAGTGGCAAATGTATTTTGCACTCAGTTCCTTTAAAGTATTTCTATTTTTTACCTTGCCAGACAAAATGAGGAAATAACTGACATGGGGGTGATTTCCAAATGCGCAGATAAAAACTCTCCTTTTTGCAGAGCAGCGGGCTGAATCTTGCATGCCATGCCGCCCGTGGGAATCCTACCGAGACAAACTTTGACAACTCTTTTATCTGCACACTTTCCTTGCCCTCAGCAGCCTGTTATCTCCAAGGCTCAGAGCACTCCAAGGAGCATTAAGCTGCTGTTCTCCATTTGCAGAGGTAGACTTCTAGGCTTCCCCGAGGCCACACAGGGAGTGTGTGACTGAACCAAGGCTGAACCTTGGAGGTCCACATTGTGACCCAGTGCGCCGTCCACCAAAACATCCTCCCTAACCAGTTCTAATGCAGCATAATAAATATCAGCTGCCACTACACAGGAAAATGATACAGTATTGGAAGAAATAGGAGTTTGCTTTAACATGCCTGATAATCTATTTTTATTATGTGTGTTTTTATCATACCTTGAACAGTTGTGTTATCAAGTATTTTTTCACCCTAGGACGTCACAAGCTAGATTGAAATTTTATTGTAGAGCATGTCTACCATTTTAACTGCCCTACTTTGCTTCTTAATTAGATGCTATGTGGTATTTAAAATGCTTTAATTCCTATGGAGCATCTGAATAGGCCACACATATTAAGTTTGGTGACCTCAATTATATAAGGTGCACAAAAAGAAAGGTGCTTGGTAGTCTAGTGCAGATTAACTTGACACGTTCTTAAAGAGGCTGTTTTCTCACAGGCATTAGGGCCAGTGCGACTCTGCTGGGAGTTAATGGAAATTTCTCTGTGCTCCTTTGGTGGGAAGTAGATCATGCTTTTTTAAAGGATGGCCTATTACGCATGAGGATTAAGGTAAGGAGTAAGTTAAAAGTGGTTCTCAGCAGTGCACAGCTTGTGTCATTGTTGGCAAAACTGTTGCTGGCTGAACACTTCTTCTGTGCCAGCCATGACGGGGAAGGAGAATCCAAACTTTTCCAACTGACGTAATTATTGATTTAGCAGAGCAACGTTACACTGAGCAGCATGGGAGAGGCAAATGGAAAAGGCCCCGTATACATCTAAAGAATTCAAGCAAACTCTGATCATTAGGGGGGAAAAAACAATTTATATGCAAATTAATACTCTCTGCAGTCTGTCCAGTAGCAGCCAAGTTCTAAGCGAATGAACAATTTAATTTTTCCCTCTTAAATGTTTTTTGTCATCAGAGGCTTCTTCCACCAGCTTTCCACAACCCACTGGTCCTCCCACCCGATGCTCTTCACAACCAGTCCCCTCCTTCCCTGTCGCCTCGCAGTGACTACGAAGAGGTTGGTCCTCCCCTGTGATGCCAGGCTGCCTCCCCAGTGCCAGGCTTCTTGCACATTCACGTAATGTGAATGCACATCCTCAAAGCTACTGCACTAGTCTCTCTCCTTATCTTTTTAAAATCTCTTCTTTGCTGGGAGGCTTACCAAAAATGTGATGACATTTTGGTCTCACGGGATGTTACCTCCAGCAGCCACACCAACCAAATGGGCTTATTGTTTCTTTGTGCTACTCGTAAATGGGCCCACTCTCTAAATTTATGAGATAACAAATGTCTTTACATCAGCCTGCCACATAAAACTGTTAATAAAAAAGTGAAAACTTAAAGACACAGATACTGAATTAATTACACCAGAAAAGTCCACTACTAGGGACTGATTTAAACAACATTTTAAACCCATGTGTGGTAAACAACATGGGAATGGACGGACAAAATCGTGTACCACAGATGAGGCCTAACTGGTAGGTAGGAAAAATGGAAAGTGGGCTATTTTACCTATTAGGAGCACTGGGAGCCTTAATAATAGGACGTTTTGGAGAGCAAGCAAAGCCTCGGGCCAGAGCCACACTGGTGGAAGGAAAGAGTTCTGCTGTCATGCCTGGTGCTGGCACTGTGTTCAAGGCCTGGAGGTTCCCTCAGACCTTTTTAGGCATTGTCCTGACCACAAAAAATGGCCAGACTTCACCTGACAACACCAGAGCAACCACCACCAGCACCAGCAAAATCCAGAGCCTGATGTTTGGTGTCTCCTGGCTCACCCCACATGCCCTTCTCCTTTCCAGGACTGGCATAAACTCTCCAGATTGTAATCCAGCTGACCAAAAGGCCTGCCTTTGCACTGTTTTCAGTCTGTGGCCAAAGTATCAAATCTTCCTGTTTCCAGAGAAGATGGAAAGACCATGCCCGTCCTATGCAGACCTAAGCCCACCCTTGCAACCTGGCACAATGGGGACCCACACATCCAGCATTCGAGCACAGGATAAGGCTTCTCCAGGGTATGAGTCAACGCCTTCCAAGTCACAGCCAAAATCTGAGCCAAAATCTGCTCCTGCTGTTCCCCTTGAGCAGGATCTCAAGGGAACCCATCCTACCATGGGACACAGGGGCAGGGTGCTGGCAGCATCCCTGCAGCCACGGCTTGGCTGCAATTCAGACCACCCCCCCCATTTGCTCTTACAGGTGTTCATTGCACCCCCATTTTGTCTGTCCTTACACTGTTTTGTCTTTCTGGAGGTACCAATGAACTTTAGCAACAGTTCCAGCTAATTTTTTCTCTTCAACACAAAAGGCAAATTTACATGACATCTTTAGTACTTGGTAAGAGGCCTCTAAATAGGAATTTATCTGTGAAAACAGATTATAATTAAAGGGAAATGCAATACAGGATGCTGTTAAAGGAAGTTTGTTATTTGAATACTGCAATTATTTTGTCTTCTTTCCTGTGTTTTCGATAAATATTTATAAAGATACAACTTGTTTGTTGCTCTCAGAGTAAGTAGGGAGAGGTTTCTGTGGTCAGGACTCTGATTTATGTTGAAACATTTAATGTTACAAATGGACAAGGTTGTGTCTGAATGCCTTCCACATTTAGCCCTTTGAATCAACACAGTAGCTTTCATAAATGAGATATCCAGCTTTGTATTAAGATAGACACTGCTCTTAAATGCTTTCTGCGGGAGGCCTATCTTTTTATTGAACTTAATGTGATGGGCTAGCACATAATATGTGTCATATGTAGTATGAGAAAACATATAATAAAATTAAAGCCAATTGGAGAAGGCTTTGGCTCACACTACAGAGTCCTGCCTGTAGTCCTGCCTTAAAGTATGACTTGAGAACTAAGGACATGGACTCATTAAGTGCATAATCCAGCACTCTCCTGGTCTGGTCTCCTTGCATTTGCCCCCAGAAAGGCAGGTTGCATCCAGCCTCCCATCATCTCCATCCTTACTAGCAGCTCACAGGCAGGCAGGAGCAGGAAGGACACAAGCCTTGCCTTCGCCTGCTGCCTGCCAGGTCCCCTGGGCTCAGTTATTCAGCATCAGTCCGGCATGGGCTAGTGTCAAGTCACACCAAAATGCACAGAGCAGGTTTCCCAACTGCTATTCAGGGCTCTTTTCCCAGCATCTCTGTGCCTGAAGTCACACGTTAGGTTGCTTTTAGCTTATGAAAGGAGAGTAAACACTGGCCAGAAGGTGAGCTATGGGGTGAAATGGCCTGTCAAAACCAAACAGCTCCAGCTGTCTTCCTCCTCATCTCCCTGCTTGTAAATGGCTTTTTAAAAATCGGAATCATAAGAGCAAGTTGCTCTTATGAAACCTTCCACTGTACCGGATCTAACCTTGGATCCCATCCATTCATGGGTTTTTTCCATTTTTTTCCATTTCTGTGGCCTAACACACAGAGTGCCATCTATTAACAAGATCCATCATTGCATGAAATTAAGCGGGTCCAAAGGTCAAACTCTTTGTGGCTACAGTTCATCAAAGACAGGGTTAAAACTGGAAAATTATTCCAGTTCCCTTCCTTTAGCTAAGATATTCTCAAATTCTTGTTTTCTTGAGGCTTTTCTTATCTGGATTATATCTATGGATGTTGGGGAAATTCAGAAGCGCTCTCCTAGCTTGAAGCTCTATGTCTATTTGTATAAGAAGGTATGTGTTGTGTTGTTTATGTTGCACCAGCACTTACACTTAAAACAGATGTGCCATCAGAAAGATGACACAGATCATGAAAAAATTAGACAGTCCAATATAAAAAATGAGAGCTCTGCCCTGCATGGGCAAGTAAAATAAACTCTATAAAATATTATCTCCACCCTGAAAACATGCAAGTATGTGACTTTCACATAGCTCATCTGTGCATATATTTTCACGTTACTGGTACCCATATATTCCCTGCTTTGTTGCCTTTGATTCCTGTTAATAGATGCCCATTAGATAGGTTCGTCTGCAAAGTTAGTCGTGTTTATTCAGTGCTTGCTGCAGTAGGGTTCCCATCTGACTGCCCCTACCCCAAAATGAATAATGAATACTTTTAACAACTTCTGCGTATGTAAAAGAATAACCTTTGCCCAAAATAAGGAGACCTGGCCTTAAACACACTAGTCGAATGAATCATTACCCAACAAGCACGAGTAATACCTCACCTCTTAATACTGCACTGTCCAAAAGGGGCCTGGCGCCAATCTGGATAGCAACAACTTTCCTCAAAAATCAGGTGGTCTCTGCTGCAGTACAAGTATGGCCCACACAAATCAAACAATTCCTTAACCGAGTGTCATCTCTTACAAGTCTCTGTACCTCTCCTTTCTCCCTCAGCAGAGGGTTTCTATCAGGTTGTTTCATTAGACCTGCCCTTTCTGTACAAGCTCTTGCCACTCATGTAAGTTGCAATTCCAATATGAAGGTCAAGGAGGAAACATTTCTGCAGTTCTTGAGCTTTCTGTGGCCCTGGAGACCCCGTGCCTGGGCTCCCTCACCTCTGAGCACGAGTCTTGACCTGAGGGCCATGACTATAAGCAGGAGAACTGCATGGTTCTCCTTGGGCATGACATCAAGCTCAAATTAATTATTCCAAAAAGAAGATTAAAGCACTAAAAGGATGACATTTTCATTTGAATGCTGTCTTCATTTGTAAGCAATGTTAACTTACCATTTCTTTCGGGAAAATAGATTTGATAAACATGAGTGATAAAACCTTCCACCGTACCGGAAAGGAAATTTGCATAAATTTCCATCCTCTGTAAACACTGAAATACAAGAATAAAAACCTCATCATGCAGCTGAAATCCAACCCACAGGTATATATTATATGTTATTATATGAAATTATGAAGATAGATATCTTCAAGTTTTTCAGCTGTACTTTGGACTCTGTGTCTCTGCAACTTCTAGTACATAAAAAGAGGCTCAAAATCCTACGTAACGACCGAATCAACAAAGATTAATGGACTCTGGTAGAATAAAGATCTCAGATCATTTCAGCTCAAAATATATTGCAATTTCTGGTACAGCAAATGCCAATTATATTCATTAATTGCAATTATCATTTCTAATTATGTAGTATTGTAATAGCATATTAAATTGATTTCTGAAGTAGTATACTTTCAGGCTCTGTATCACATTGTAACATCTGTTTAAAATAATTAAAGCACCAGACAGTACAAACTGAAATAGAAACAGTCAGGAGAAAGAAGGTTTTAAAGACTGGGGGAAGACAGATAATTTTGATCATACCACCTTCCCTTCAGGATAAGCAGATTCCTTACAAGTGGGGAGAAATTGATGGGACCAGTGTTTAAAAGGGGCAAGTCTTATGTTCACCATGCCAGTGATGGTAGTCTAATGAAGGGTGGTGGGAGTCTAAGGAAGGCTAGTGGGAGTCTAGCAGAAAAAAATCCTTCAAGACGAGTCTTGAGAATGAGAGAGACTGAAGATAAAAAAGACAATGAAAAACTGTCAGAGCTTATTTAACCATTAAACTAAAAGCAATCAGTTTTGAGAGCCAGGAGCGTGAATGGGAAGCCAACCATTGCTGTAGGAGAGAAATGGGGCGTACAACCGAACTGGCAGTGCAGGACATTTCCATTTCTCAGTGACAATGTACGACGACTGCTCCTTGTCCTGAGCTTACCCCTTCAGTCATGGCTGGGGCTCCTGCACACCCTTGCGATATCCGTTAACCCTCACAAGCCCAGACTCATCATCTCAAAGAGCTCCTGAGGCCAGTTATTAGCATTATGGAAAAAATAACCCCTCCCTGTTGTCCAAACCCTTCCTAACCACTTGGAATTGTTGTCACTCTATCTGCCCTAAACTGTCCCCTTATCTGTCAATGTGAAATAGCTACTTCCAGCCCTTCTGCTATCCCTTTTTCAAGCCTGGTTTTCATTGTCTGAACTAATTAAGCAAATGTTCAGATATTTACCTTCTCTGTCTGATACTTCCCATTATAAGCAGTTAGGAGAGTTGTGAAAATACGTCGCCATTCAGAAGACATATGGCATGCCAAAGGACGTAAAAGACTGTTCTAAGCTATAAAGGCACCACTAATGGCCCAATTCATGTAATCCATAACAGCAAAAGCACAGGACAACAAAAGCTTTAAAAATGGAAGTCTGCAATGCCCACACACAGCCAGGATGTCTGATTGAAGACAGATAATTTTTGAGAAGAGAAGGCTTCGGGGGGAGACCTGATTGCAACCTATCAGTACTTAAAGGGGGCTTATAAAAAAGATGGCAGCAAACTTTTTAGCAGGGCCTGTTGCAACAGGACAAGGGGGAATGGCTTGAAACTAAAGGGGGGTAGATTTAGACTAGATAGAAGGAAGAAATTTTTGACACTGAGGGTGGTGAAGCACTGGCACAGGTTGCCTAGAGAGGTGGTGGATGCCCCATCCCTGGAAACATTCCAGGTCAGGTTGGACGGGGCTCTGAGCAACCTGATCTAGTTGAAGATGTCCCTGCCCACGGCAGGGGGGTTGGACTAGATGACCTTTAGAGGGCCCTTCCAACCCAAACTATTCTATGATTCTATGATTTTATTGTTTAGGTGCCATCAAAACAAATGCAACCTAGCAAATTGCATGGGGCTCAAACCCTTCTCCCACAGAGAGATCAAGGGCTGTGGCAGAAATTGAGCCTATACATACAAAGAGCTTATGTACTTTAAAGTCACGGGGCAGACGCAGCTCTGATTAAAATAAAGGGAGTTGCACGTCTACAGCCACACTATGTTATGAGTGAATATAAGCCACACCAGCTCAGACAAACTAAAACCCCATCATCACCTTCCCATTAATCCACACCTGAAGGAAAATTACCTGAGATTCCTGAGCTAATCCCGAATTCCCCTCTACACAGAAATTAATATTGGCGTAACCATTCCACAATCCTTATTCATGTTGAAACAAAGACAGGCTTACTACTGATTTGCACAGCATGGATACAGACACGTAGATCATTCTTACTGTCATGAAATCTATTGGATTTGACTTTGTACCTTGTGGGAGAGTGAACTCATGTTTTGAGCCTCTTCCTGCCTCAGATTTGTAGTGCTACAAAGAGAAAAAAAAGAATGTGGATTGGAGACACAAATTCACTCTGGGAACCATCCTACAGAGACAAACGTGCTTTCCAGGGTGCCCCGAAATTGTGTTTCTCCCAGTGCTTCTGCAAAGATCTCATTATTTGCATGTGATTTTTGCTGGGGCACAGTCTGGTGAAAGAGGGTAGATAAACACTGGTTCGTGAAATGTCTCTGTTAAACAAGGAACACAAGCACAAAAAAGGCCAAAGCTCTGCTCCGTTGTATCTTTCTATTACCAAGGGACACATCTCCTATTTCTCTCGGCAGGAAGCATATATGCATTCTAGGGCGAGTTCACAGTTACAAATAACATCCCAGCATTTGACTTTTCCTGCCATTTAGCTGTATCCCCCAGGGCATTAGTTAAAAAAGCAACCTCTCCTTCATTTGGGTTCACCCATCAGCAAGCAAAGAGCACTAGGCTGAGCTGATTGTGAGCCACAGGAAATAATAAAAATGGTAATACACATAAAGTGCTGCTGCCACCAAAGGTGCTGACAGCTGAACTAGAGCAAAATAAAAATATCACAAAAGCAGTCAAGGAAGCAGCACATCATGAACGCAGAACTGGATAGAGGACATAACAAGTAGGGATAAGACAAAGCTGTTGCTAAGATATATAGGGAGGGCTTGAACAGTTCTGAGGAAGAAGCAGTTTTTGCACTCTACACTGACTCTGCCAGCACTGTGCAGTCTCCAAGGGCTTCAGCCAGGGCTGATCTTTTCCTAGGCGCCATGAATATTCCTCTCTGCTCTCGCCTGTAATGTCTAAGGAGATGCTTCTGTACTTCACTGGGATAGCTAGGATTATAGCATCATTTAAGTATATCTGAGCTAGTTTTAAACTAGCTAGTGAAATAACACTAATCATAAAGCCACACAACTGGGGGTCCAGGCTATTAGCTGCGCTGCTAGTCCATGGTGGATGCCAGGCCATGGTGGGGTTTAAGCAAACTAGCAAAGTCAAACCATCACAGCCATGCTCAGCAGTGCTGCAGCTGCCTTGCAGACATACCCCAAAAGAAGAGACAAAGCACACGATGCTTTGAAGGGCATGGTATGAAACCAGGGAGAGGTTTGAAAAGAAGGAGATGGTTAGCTAAGCTGGCATGTTCAGTTACCAGGTAGCAGTAAAGTCTGGTGGGGTAGCACTCTCCTTCCATGCTACTGCAGGTACCTGCTTGTGTCAACAATTTCTGAGATGCATTTTCGAAGTATTTCAATTTTTGTAGTACTTTCTCCCCTCCCGTTCTTCCTCCCTAGCAGGGCATGGATGTAATCAATTTCTTTAAATGCAGATACGTATGGGACCAGCTATCCTACAGGCCTGCCACTTAGTCAGCATTGCTGTGAGCCTTCCTCCAGAAAATCCCTTTTGTTTGTCATTTGAAGTGCTCTTCCTTTTGGTCTGGTCGGCGGCTTCACTCATCCAACCCCAAGGCAACATTGTCCTGCCAGCCAGCATGTAGGTGATCCACCACTCCAAAACAGAAGAATCAGACTTACCATCCTTGCACAGTCACTGCTCAGAGTCAGAGCCAAGACAACAGTGAAAGGAGCACAGACTTTCATCTTTGCTCTCCTCTCACGAAGGTTTTGCTTGGCAGAGGGAAACTTCCAGGGCTGGGCTGAAGCGGGAGGGTGAATCAGCAACGAGCTTTCGCAAGGGACTGTGATTTACTTGACTTTAGGGTATTTTAGTTTTCTAAGTAAGCAGAGCTGTTATCATTGTTAATCATTAATGTCTTTGTGGGTAGATGGGAATGCCATGTAGTGAGATACTCTCCCCAAACCACAGGGAGTGAAGAGTTTACAAAGTGCCTGACCTTTGGAGATGATCGCCAGTGTACTCGGCAAGCGTTTAAGAGCACCTCCAGAGGAGCTGATCCAATGTTGCTTGTAATCAGAGATGATTTACCATCCAGACATTTCCCATCTCTTTCTTTTTTTTTTCTTTCCCTTCAGGAGCTAATTAAAAGCATGGTATAGCAATAACAAGGAGCTCCAAGCAAGCCCACTGAGGAGACAACATTACATTGCAAAATATGGACCAGATCAATGCCAATATCAGACACAAGAATTACTCATTAACAGATGGTTACCTGCCCAGCCGTGACTTAAAACAGCAGCCTTTCAGCAATAGACTGGGAAAATTAAAAAGAAAGAAAATAAACATTATTCTGACAAGACGTTTTGTGTACCAAAACGCTCCCTTCTGCAGCCGCCTGAGCAAAGCCATCTCTGTCTTGTTACGTACTTGGCTGAGATAGCTGCGCTGCAGAAGCATTTCTAATAGGGATGCAGAGGGTATTGCTAAAACTGAGATTTCACCAGTGGAGTCTGTTTCAGCCCCACCTTGCCCCACAACCAAAATCTACAGGTTTGGCTGGTACAACCGTGTCTGTGCTCGAGGCTTTTGCCAGCCATGTCCTGTCAATCAGGGACCGCACCTCTTCACACCCGAAATCCCCACAGCCACAGCAACAGAAAGAATACCATAGTCCTTGCTTAAGTTGTGCTCTACCCTTTGAAGTTTCACCACTACAGCTATGGAAGGGATGTGATTTTTTTTTTTTTTAAAGCCCAGTCCCTGGCTGTAGGGCCTGGTGGTGCAGTGGAGCTACCCCAGCACAATTTTGCCATGGTGGTTTATAATGTTGGAGGGGATTTCCGCTGGCTGTGCTATCACACTGCTCCATCTGTCATCACAGTAAGAGCTCTTGTTAGTACAACTATGCATATATAGGTTTATGGACAAAACTTTCCTACTGTCAGCAAGGCTTGGAACAGCAGGAACGAGGCAAATTTGGAATGTTCTTCCCAAAATCCAGCAAAGAGCAAACAAGCAGAAAAAAAACTTTGCCTCAATGTGTTGTTTGTTGCCTGAAGATTTGAAGTAAATAAAGCTTCAGAATAGACTCGTGGAATAGATCTGTCTTATTTTCACTCATTTCAAACATGGAAGTAGGATGTACAGACAGTCTGATCTGCCTGGGGACACCTGACAAAGCTGGAACATAGATTTCCACTTCCTACCCTGTCGTGGTTTAACTCCAGTTGGTAACCAAGCCCCACACAGCCGCTCACTCACCCTCCCCCCAGGTGGGATGGGGGGGAGAATCAGAAGACCAAAAGTGAGAAAACTCGTGGGTTGAGATAAGAACAGCTTAATAATTGAAATAAAATATTATTATTATTATAATAGTAATGAAAAGGAAAAAAACAATAGAGAGAAAGCAACAAAACCCAGGAAAAATAAGTGATGCAACCGCTCACCCCACGCCGACCAATGCCCAGTCAGTCCCCGCGTGGCGGTCACCATGCCCCAGCCAACTCCCCCCAGTTTATATACTGACCATGCCGTCCCATGGTATGGAATGTCCCTTTGGCCAGTTTGGGTCAGCTGTCCTGGCCGTGCCCCCTCCCAGCTTCTTGTGCACCTCCTCGCTGGCAGAGTATGGGAAGCTGAAAAGTCCTTGACTTAGTATAAACACTGCTTAGCAACAACTAAAACATCAGTGTGTTATCACATTATTCTCATACTAAATCCAAACCACTGCACTATGCCAGCTGCTAGGATGAAAATTAACTCTATCGCAGCCGAAACCAGGATATACCCTCTTTCTTGACTCAGGCCATCAGGCTTCAAACTAGTAATACCTATACAATGGCTTGTAGACATCTGCTTACCACCCAGCCTACTGAAATTGTGCAAAGAAAGCAAAAAAAGCCATTAGCTGCTATTCCATCCAGAGTTCCCAAAAGCTCCGCGGAAAGAGAGGAGCGGGGGAGCAAGGACTGGACAGCAAGGGGAGGAGGAAGGTACTTCTTTAAAGCTGCGGCAATACCCTTTTCCGCCAATTTCCAGAACAAAAAACATCCACTTCCAGGACCAGAACCACTGTACTTCTGTGGTCACCAAGACAGGTTGCAGGAAAGCATTTTTCCATAGTAAGAAAGAAGAAAAGCAAGAATGCATTCTGTGTCCGTGTGTCTGCTCCCGGTTGCTGTAGTTCGTAGCCATTGAACTACAAGCAAGAGTTGCAGAGTGTCTTTCTGGGGAGTCACAACTCTAAGCTTTTAGCTCAAACCAATTCCTCAACATAAGAAAAAGGAAGAAGCACCAACACCAGGAGCCACTTCAACCGGTAGGACATTGCTGGCACAAAGCAAAAGGAAATGACATCAAATCCAGGAGTTGTAACAGCTGCCAGAGAAGCACCACCATATAATGGGAATTACCCCTGAGTAAGGTCTGAATAACGACCGAACAGTGATTTCAGGGTTCAGACAGATATGAATCATTTAGGTGTCTGAACAGGTCTTATGGCCATAGAGAAAAGGCAGAATTTAAGGTGTGTTTTTCTGCAAATTATGTTAAATGATCAGTGACACTTTCAGCTATTTATAACCAGAAGAAAGTCTGCTTGCCTTCATCAGGCTTTTCCTAGAATCAGTAAAAATGAAGTGTGCCACATATTTTTTGGAGAAATATTGTATCTCATTGGCAAGAAACTACTCAGAAAACTGAAGATTCAGTTTTGATGCTGAATTCTTACAAACCTCACAGGGCTTTGGGAACTTGGGAGTTCATAAGGGTGAAGAATAAGGTCTTGGCTGCAGATATTTGTGTGTCATCATGTGAAGCTTTTGTCCAGGAGCAGCACAAGAATTTTTCATGGACGGACAGCTGGGGAACAAACCTGGGGAAAGAGAGCTGAGACACATGAATCCCTTACACTGGTCCGGTTTAATGCCATTGCAGATAGAGCCACCCAGCAGCACGGCCCTGGGTCAGCTGGAAACGACCCCAAAGGCAGAGAGGCACCAAGTAGGGAGGCCATCCCTTCCCCTAACATGTGTTCACGTCTGACTGCGCAGCCTCTCCATTGAGAATCCAGATGCACACAGAGCTTGCAATGTGAAGATAATAAAAGTGGGGAAAAAATAAGCAGCACAGGGTGGGTTCAGCAAACATAACATTTTTAATTTACTCATATACACTGGTGATGCAATCACTGGTGCTCAGACAGTTTACAGGAATCGGACCTGACCTCAGGAACAGACTAGCCAGAGATGAAGGCAGAACGGGTGCACACAGCCAGCTGCTCCTCAGCACGCAGAGCATCGAATGGTCCGCGCCCGCAGCAGCCCTCTGCCTCTGCCAAAGACCAAAGAGCCACTCTCACATTCAGATGTCACAAGACTACATGTTGTTAAGACCTTTGGGGATGCCTATCATGAGAGAAATGTCTTCTGCTGTAGGGTGGAGAAACAGTTTGGTTTGTATCGCTGTGGCTGAGAACCTACCAGCCTGCGAGACCCGGGGCACCATGCCAAAACCATCGCCCCATGGGTCGGGCCGATGAGCCCACAGAGCTTCTCTCCTTAACCTTCACAAATCAATTAATCTGTGACTCATTATTTCCAGTGTACTGAAGGAATTTTTCCATAAAGGGAGAAAACACTGAGGTGTGTATGGAGCAAATAACGTAAAAACAACAATGAGAAAAACAATGAAGATACGGAAACAATCCATATGGCATTCAAGATAAAGTCCCTAGCATTAGATTTTAGACTTCATTTAGCATCCATTTCAAATGAGGCCCTGTAAAACACTAAATAACTATAACTATAAATATAAATATAAATATAAATATACATATGTGTGTGTGTATAAAAGAGAAGAAATCTGGAAATAGGAGCTAGAGGAAAGACCTGGCTTTGGGGTGACAGAATATTTGGCAGCTCTGAGGACTGGAGCCTGTATTGCAGCTCAGCCCACCAGTGAAACTACAGGTAGAGTCTGGTTCTTGTTTTCAAAGAAAATTCCACTTTCCTTTTAAAGAAAGACATATTCTGATTCTTAACTTTGCTGCACATAATATTGGCCATTTCCTGTGAAGCACTTATAATCCAAACGCATTTAGAGCCAGATTCTGCTACTGCTGAAGTCAATGAAATGTTTCAAAATAAGACTAGGAACTCTTTATCATGTTTGTAGCCTGTATCAAAGGCTAAAATCCCTCATTTTCAGCATTTTTCCCTTAATATTGACATCATCATGGGAAAATGAAAAGGCAAATAAACACACACTAAATGAGCAGAAAGAGACAGAAATCCTTGCTGCAGGGGGTATAGCACATACTGATAATGCTGCCTCATACATCTGCCTTTTCCTCACTTTCCACATTGCAATGGTTTTTATTTCTTTAAATTTAACTATAATTAATAAAAGCCCAGACTAAGCCCAGACTCTGAACTACTTAGTAATAATGAAACAATATTAACAACCATCCTAAATCATTAAATACCAACAAAAAGTAAATTAACTGTCAGCCACAAATATGAAATAATACGATTGCTCTTTTTTTTCATCAATTAGTTCATTAGACATAAGTGGAAAAGACAAATTTAAACATACACGCTTCCGTTTGCATTCATTCCTGTGTACCAGCTACCAAGCAGACTGGGGGAGGGTTATCCCATGACTGCAAGCTCATCAGTGTTCTCCATTTTTATGTTATTTCCTGACCATTGTAAATGTTTCTGAGAAATCTACCACTCAGCTACTGCAAAACTGAAGAAAAATTATAATCTTTTCTAATGACTGATTCCCCCATGTATTTTTGCAAATTTCTATGCTTTTTCATAGC